GTCAAGGAGTGCGGAAGTAAGTTCCTCTCCTCTGTATGCACCGCCGTAGTATACTACGTAATTTTCGAAAAACAACGCCTAGGCCACTCTGTGAGCACAACACTTTCGACGTTCTCCCCTTAGGTGTTGGTGGTCAATTCGACGATATGGACGGCAAGCATCAGACTCAACAGTTCGACCTCAAGATACTATTTCATTCATTAATTTTCTTTCTTGTTTAATCTTTTTATTTTTTCTTTCTTTATTTCTTTTTTTCTTTTCATTCTTATATATATATATTTTCATTTTTTTTTCTTTTCTTTTTCTTTCTCACAACAAACCTGCTGGGCATGCTTTGTTCCTTATAGGAGGGGAGACTGTAAGACCTGTGGTCATTACATATACGCGCAAGCGCACACCTAGAGTTTAACACTTAAGACTTAAATCTACAATTACTATATATGCTTGTTTTCATTTCGAATCTTACCAATGGTTCCTTAGAGATATCGGGACTGATTCATATCCCTCTATCCTTCGGAACCAGGTATAGTCATTTTACTTATTTCTATCTTTCTTTCTTTTTATCATTGTTGTTGTTCAGCTTAGAGATATCGGGACTGATTCATATCCCTCTATCCTTCGGAACCAGACGTGTTCCCGTCGGATTAGTAATACAATATCAGGTCTCTTGGGTTCTAGAAACCCTCTGCTGTGCTCGCACAGTGTCCCGCGTGAAGTATCCAGTGAAGGTTCTTCCGAACCTTACAGCCCCATGCTCCAATAATATAACCCAGGTTCAACTTTTGGGTTTGCACAAAAACTCTAGAAGTTTTACTTGTCCAGTGTGTTTCCGCAAAAGCAAATGTAGGGGTACAAAAGCCACTACAAGAGCCATAAGTGGTTCTGTAAGTGATATATTTCTGTATAAAAGTTGAAAATTTGATGGCCCCATGCTCCAATAATATAACTCAGGTTCAACTTTTGGGTTTGCACCAAAACTCCAGAATTTTTACGTATGGAGTATGTTTCCGCAAAAGCAAATGTAGGGGTACAAAAGCCACTACAAGAGCCATAAGTGGTTCTGTAAGTGAGACAATTCTGTATAAAAGTTATAAATTTTGAAGCCCAACACTTCAAAAATCCAAAACATCCTCAACTTTTGGGTTTTCACAAAAACTCCAGAATTTTTACTTATGGAGTATGTTGCCGCGAAAGCAAATGTAGGGGTACAAAGGCCACTACAAGAGCCATAAGTGGTTCTTGAAGTGCTATCCTCCTATATAGAAGTGATATAGATTAAAGGCCAACACTGCAAAGATGCAAACCAGCTTCAACTTTTGGGTTTGCGCAGACACTTGAAAAGTTTTACTTATCAAGTGTGTTTCTGCGAATGCAAACATAGGGGTACAAAAGCCACCTGTGTACACTGAAAAGCACCGAGTGTATTGGATGATACACATGTAGCTATCATCCTATGTACTTGGAATATCCCCCTTTAGAATTTCCTAGGAAGATAGCTGGTCCTATGGTGACCTAGAAAGATCACTAAGTCACACTTCCATAAGGGGGGGGCCTTGGCCCCCCACACGCACCAAGTACAAATCTCACTACATAAGCACAAGATCTTACTACACAAGTAATAATCTCACTACCAAACCACCACATCTTACTACACGAGTAATAAACTTACTACTCATGTAATAATGTTACTGCCACACCTTCAGATCCTACTACACAAGCAATAATGTTACTACCCAACCACCAGATGTTACTACATGTGTAAAAATCTTACTACCAATCCACCAGATCTTACTACTTGAGTGAAAACCTTACTACTCAAGCACAGTTCTTACCCCTCAAGTAAGAATATTACTACTGAAGTAAACATTTAAGTTACTACTCAAGCACACGAATTTACAACTGATGTACGAAGACACTACTCAAGGAAAAGATTTTACTACTTAAATAAGGATCTTACTACCAAAATCCCAGTCTCACTATCCCAATTACAATACCTCATCATCGTCATACCAACCTTTAGACTAACCAACTTCACCGCCTACCCGAGCATCCTTATCACGATTCATAGCCAACACCTCACTAAATCAGCTCTCACCTCAATATAGGTATACCTAAGAACCAACCCTTTCATCTTGTCTATCTGTGAATCCCCCTTACTCTCAATCCGGCGTACAAATGGATCCCAGCCACGACGAGTATGTATTTCCGGTACCAGGCATCATCGAAATTTATCACAAAGATCGAAGAAAGATGGACGAGTATGTGTCAGATTTCCCAGCCACAAACCACGGATATTGAATGCGAATTGGCAACTCACAAAGAAAGAGCAGTGCAACCTCGCACTACGAATGCTACCGATCAGGCTATCCATCCGGTGGACCTAGTCTTGTCGGCACCACAAAATCGGCACGTATTGGCTGTCCCTTCAAACTAGCCACCCGATACCTTTATCATTCATCATCCTGGATACTCATTCATACCCATCTTGGTCACAACCACCCGCCTGATCCGGAAGTTAAAACTCGCAAGAAGTACAAAGACCCTAACGCTGGACCTATCCTAGCTCCCGGAGTAGTTTTCGATGAGGATGCAGAATCAACATCGCATGAACGGGCCAATGTAATAACACAGTAAGCAATAACTCATCACATTGGAACAGACCAGACCAACAAAGAAACAAACTGATATACTTGAGCTTACCTTTATGTCCAGTAGTCTGAATACCAATATCGAACCTACATTCACACCTGAAGGAGCCAATCCACTGACGAACTCAAGCGAATGGTAAGTAAATCTACAGTAAATCAGATCAATCAACGACCCAAGAAGAACAAGTAAAAAAGTTAACATTTTTTACGTCGACCTTTATGTTCAATAGCCCGAAAACTAAAGTGGACCCTACCTCAATAGCAGTCAGTCATCTTCAATGTTTTTAATGATTCATCCGATAATTTGAGTTTTTCATGATTTTCTTCCCATAATCTCCAAAAAACGTCGTCACTCAACTATTGATTAACAAATCATCGACTAGCCTAACAATGATCTTGCACCCTGGGCCAAGAAGCTCAAACTCACTCCACCTGGACAGCGCTACTACGACATCGATGCTGACCTCAAGACATTGGACTCGGTTGAATCAACCCTCTCCAGCCTCAGAACCCAACTATGTGCGATGGCCCCACATCGTCGGCAGGAAGTCCTAATGAAAATCCAGACGATCATCAGTCATGAACGCATGGTTAACGATGAACACACATTACCTATCTCCTTATTACCTGAACCTCCTGAACCGGTAAGTAGAAAAAGTTAGACAAACTTCACATCTACATCACAAGACATCGTTCTCACAAGTCATTTAAACACATAGAAATTGCTTTACGACTCGGTTAATGACACACCACTTTCAGTTCGCACATCACCCGCCCCACACCTTCAGGAAGAACACTCAGTAAGCATCAAATGTAGGAGAAGGAGCGTATTTGATGCGAATCTCAACTGATGATCATCTTGTATCTCTAGGTTGAGAGGCTTATCGAAGAGCTATGTGGACCATCCGATGTTACAACATCAACGTTCAACTTTGAAGACCTCATTATATCTCAGCCTGAGGCACTTCCACTTGTCGATACTAACCACCAATCGGCTCCCAACTCACCATCAAGTACTACTTCATGCCATATGACCACCACCACCATCAAGCACCCATCCAAAGACTCTCAATCAGAATTGCTGCAAACATCGCAAATACCAAATCCGGATCCCGACATTCACGTCGCAATCCAAACATCATTGCAACATGATTTGCCACCGATTGCATCCCCTCCCTCGCACCCAATATCAACCTTTTCACAATTACGAACTCCAACTCCTAGTCCTCGAGTCACACGTAAACGTGCCCGCGAGGCTATACTATTACAAAAGCCTAGTGTGATCAATCCGAATCTGCCGGCCCTACTGGCGAAGTACCGCCTTCACACTTGGCTGGAACCTTTCGTCATCGACGTGAGAGAAGTGAAAGCAGATGGGCACTGCGGGTACCGCGCCATAGCAATCTCCATTGGCGAATCCCAGGACAAATGGTACAGTGTACGTCAAAGAATGGCTGATACAGTAACCAACACACCTGATGACCGCCTTATTCCTGAGAACCGCCCCGAAGCGTTGGCTCGGCTTCTCACAACCAAACCCAACGTTATTACCGAACAACAGCACTGGCTTGGAATGCCAAGTTGGGGTGGGGTGATCGCAAACACATTCAATCGGCCTGTGTTGTACTACGAACCTGGTGCTTACAGCCAGATCGTTTTTCCCTACTCCACCCCTTACAATCTCAACCCTCCCATTGTTCTTGCTTTTGCCGACCATCACTTTACATCCCTATTACTCGATTTCACCAAAGCCAACTTCCCGGCTCCTCGTATCTGTGCAACATGGCGGCGATTCCATCAAACCGACGCCTCAAGTTGGTATGACGCTTGGAAACCACTCGTTGAAAGTCATGCGGAATTTTTGAAAGCACTTAACAAAAGTCGACGCCAAAAAAAAAGGCGGTTTGTATTCACATTGACTGATTGTAACTCTTGCTTTTTATACCTACCAATTTACGTATCTATGATATGATGACCTTGCTGAAGCCTTTTCATGTCAGACTCTTAATTGTAGCTAGTATCATGTGTAAAATTTTCTGAGTTGATTCTGCAATAAATAGCTTTTAAAATCGCGAAATTTTAATTGCAAGTCGTTGACTACTAAGTTGACTACTAAGATGTTCATCTTCAATATCACACAAAAGATGAGATGCAAGATACTCTTAACATTTCCTGAAAATTACGTTGAAAATTTGGCTCTACACTAATTACAAGATCACCAATTTGGATGTCCAAGGGATTAACCCTTTCAAATTAGTTTCCACAAAATTATATAAACATCATTGCCAGGTCATGAAGCAACAAAGGTTTGGTGAGTGATATGTACAAAGGTTTGGTAAGTAATCTGTATAATCAATCAAGTGCCATCCGTCTGTATCCAAGCTCAATCTCCCAGTCATCTTCAATACCTTGTTCCATTCTTTCCTCTTCTTCTAACATGCCTCGGTACTCGGCCTCCTCATCCGCCCCTTCGGGGGCCCAGTGTATTGGTAGCATAAGTATATCTATCGGTGCTCCTGTTGTGCGCGCAAGCATTTGCTGCCACTGAAGCAGTAAAGTATGGTCTGAATCCACCCTCCCATCCACATAGGCTTGGGTTGATTCCAAAACCTCTTTCAAGCTCCTATCCCAATGCGCCCACAGGCGAGATGCACGTTTAGCCAGTGCAGAGTGGACAGAGTTCCACTCTGCAACTCGAGATTCTGCCCCAAATTACCTGTCAGTGATCCTTTTACGTGTGGATATTGGTGCACCACCTGGAGCCAAGAAGCTTACCAATACAATCATTTGGCCTTGCCCTATCAACACAATTTTGATAGTCAATTGCCCAACCCAAGAGCTGCCTAACCTCACGCCCCAGACGGCGAAGCTCTTCTTCAGATGCCATTTGATTTCGAAGTGCTACGATACCATCCTTGGTCCTCCGGCATGATGCCCATGGTTCATCAAGGTGGTTCAGCGCCACTTCATCCCAAAATGGATGTAGTAAATCCATTTCAAGCACTTCGTCCATACTTGGTAGCACCAGTCGCGGTGTAGGTCGGTGACGTTGATTGTAACGAGATGCATGCCTTAAATAAGTATCCAGTTTCTTCTTGAGGAGGCCTCTTTTTTTCTTTCTTAGCTGCTCATTACGAGGTTGCTGGGTGGCCCCTGAGGGTGCCAGTTATATTCAGCATCAGTGTTCTGTGTTCCCAATAGCAAAACGGGATGACACACCTGTTTTGATGGCCGCATCAGCCCTCTGTTGTATCACATCCATTGCAGCCTCATACAAGAAACCTAACACAACCTGGACGCTGAGCATCGCCTTGACTCTGACATCTAACAGCGCAAGCAACGGATCAATGTATAATTATTTGAACCAAATAAAATGGACACTCACTGCTGCCTCTCCGAGCATTCAACAGTTCCGCATTTCCTAGCTCGTCCGCGACGGCTTGTATTTGAGCTTCAAGTGCAACCAATGACGCTGGTAGGTTCAGAAGTTCATGACGCTGTTCCGCAGTTCGTATGGCGGCGCTACCTGCGTTCATAGCTGTTAGTTTTTGACTGAAACAAATTAAACAAACTGGAACATAAATATACGTTCATCTTCAGGGGGGCGATGACATATATTAACATACCGGGCTTCCAATAGCTCCTCCTCAAGAGTCAGCAAAACTCCTAGACGTTCGCGTTTCTCCTTCGCCTCCACAGTCATGGCCTTCAGCTGCAAGGATCGTTGACGATCCCACTGAATCTGAAAGTACACCGTCGTTTGAGCCGGATCTTGCTGAGTAAGTTTGGCGAGCAAAGACTTGCTTTCATGTAGCTCAGCTAGATATTTCTTTGCTTGACCAAGCATAAATGATACTGTGGTCCAATATCAATGTATATTCATTACTCAGTTGGAATCTGAATATTCAATGCTGTCTCTATATAAACAACCTCACCTGACTTCCAACGCAATTCTTCATTTCGATGGTTGGTCCACAGATCCAGGGTGACCATCCGGCGCTGCTTGGTTGAATATCGTAGGCCTCGTACGAGTGGCGAGATCTTGAACCACACACGCTCCAAACCCTCTCCATTGCTTTTACCCCAACCTCGATTGAGGCGGGGGTTATACTCCAGCTGACATGACCAATTGTGGGCGTAGGCGTGGAATAGTGCGGTTCCCAGTTTGACCCGCTTAGCATAATTTGCATCCGTGAATACTTTTTTCTTCCAGTTAGCAATACGAGTCAGATAGGTTATATAATTATAAAAGACATATGGGCGACATTTGGGAGGTGTACCTTCTTGATAGTTTTGTCCAAGTTGCAGCCTATATCGTATAATATACCAATGGTAGTCGTTCCATCTCGATCTAATTTGATCATATCTAGCAACCACTCTATCAGGGCAAGCGCATTATGATTTCTTAAAGGGCCAACATGGTCAGTCGAAGATAAACATAAGTTCCTATATCGAAATATAAACCTACTTTTCGCCGGTTTGAATCAGGTTGATAAATTTCAAGACATGGTCATGTCTACATGCCATACCCAGCAATCCGGATTCATCCATGTTCTTAAAATGGCCTCGCCCTCTAGCATCGTTTGCAGCCGTGTGAGCTTCGGTACATGGGTCCTAAAATGATAGATAAATAAATTTAAGTATATATCCACCACTGGTGTTGAATTCGCTGCTGAATGTATTCACTTACGCCATCAAGTGGTTCATCCGGTGTTTGACTCATGAAACGTTCCTTCGCAGTGACCAATTTGGGATCCAGGAACATAGACGGTCGTGGAGGTTGTGAACCTGGAATTGGTACACTAGCACGTGCATGTCGTTTATGCTGAAAGTTACCATCTAGACACACAACAATTTGAGGTTCTTCTGGCCTTACTACGCCCACTGCAGGTCCAAAACATGCCGGGCAGTTCACCGCAAGCTTGTCAAGCTCAGATAGGTGAAGCCTTTGATTTTCCAACTCTCGAATTTGGATCATAAAAGCTCGATAGGCATCCATGGCAACTGAGAATGGGTGTCGCCAGTTTCTGGGCTGCAGATCGTCGTTAGTCACATGGTTTTTCAAATGAATTTAACATTGATAAGTTCTTACGTACGTGCCCTTTAGGTGTAAGGATTTCTGGACTGTTGTTGTTAAGCACGTCATCCAGTGCTTGACAGTAACCTTCAGTTGGAATCGCAAAGCGAATCCACTGAGAGTAATGGTGAACCATAAGTCTAACCGAGAACGCGGTGCGAGGGCGCGATGGTGACGCAGCAAGGTAACCCATCTGCAGCAGCCTCTGAGGGTCCGAAAGATCGCAATTTCGGCAAAAGGAAATCTTCACTCGCCGTCTGGCTAAGTAAGTACGGATGTGTGATCCCACAGTCAGTATATAACAACGTCAATACTACCATTCATTCTCAACATGATAGAAGAGTCAATGATATACAAATTGCTCACATAGGATATCCACAAGGTCCACATTGCGCTCCGTCCGCAAAGAGCACGTGCAGGGAGTACGTACGTCTTCATTCCAATTAACTTGATTCCCCCAATTTGATGTTTGCAACCGCCTTCTAAGAAAGGTGGGTAACATTATCGCGTACTGCCAACTCCATCGGTTCTCGTTGGCCAGGCGATCAGCTAAGTGTAATTGCCTTCGCAGACCGGCCAATATCGGGTCGTTGGGGACTTCAGGAAGGTCATGATGCTCAGGAAACTCTTCATGCGGCATAGGCATGAATCGATTCATGTCTATCTCATCTTCGTCTTTGGGAGGTTCTTCTTCCGGAATCATGTTTTCGTTGCGCGGGTCAGGTAAGTCCGGTACAGCGCCTATAGGTTGGTGAGGTCCACCAGGATTGTTCAGCCCTTGGGAAATTGCAGCGTCTGAGGCCTCAGCATGCGCCAAATCTCGTATCCGGCTGAGTTCTAGCTGTCGTTGCAACGGGGTGGATGCCTTGGGTTGCTTAGGCCGATGATTCAGCCCGCGTATGAGCCGCTGGGATGGCATGTTTGACAGAGAATGGATGATACATTCGTAAGCGGCTTCACGGGTCAGTATGAAAAAAAACTTATCTAACTGAGGCGCCCATCATTTATTGGCGTGTGATAATGTAACCGTTTTGGTACATGGGCTGTTCCCCAACGTGAAAGAATCATCAGTGCCACATCCGATACTGTTTAAAATTCCCAATCGGGAATTATATAAGCTTCTCTGAACTTTTTCGTGATAGATAATATGTTTTGGGACATTGCGAGTTCCCCAGCGTGATTGAAATGACCTGCTGACATGTGAAACATAACGTCAGTGCCCCATACTATACTGTTAAAATGCCCCAATCGGGAAATATATGAGCTTCTCTGACCATTTTCGTGGTTGATATTCCAAAACGAGATACGTAAAGACCCGTAATATTTGCTTCTGACCGTAGCCTGACGTTCAGCAACATCCATGACGTCCTTCGATACGGTTAATAAGTATTGGTACCGTTTATGGTGGCGCGCTCGTTGCAAGGAAGGTCTTGATTGTTATAATGTAGTGAGGGAATTAATGGCGATATGAGATGAATAATAGTTACATCCCTTCAATCGAGATGGGAGCTATATGCACTTCTACATTACATGTGTGACTGCATATTACATGATCACACCACTGGTCATGTAAGACGCAGTCACACATGACAATGTGACTGCGTCAACTGTTAACCACCATGGAACCCATGCCTTATGACGCATGGGAAGGAATGTGTGAAGGAATGAATCACATCAAATACTCATATATTTACAAACCATATGTTATGAGTTGGTAAGCATAACAAACTTAAACTATTATGGTGGACCACATTGATGCTTTTTGTCCAGGTGGAGCAATCAAGTGACCCATACAAATAATGATCTATATGTTGGTTGAGCATATATATCATTAATTGTTTGCATCTGTACTTGTTACAAATCACTTGTCTGATTTGGTATACATAACTGACTTATTGCATCTGTGGTTGTTATAATTGACTTGTCTGATTTAGTATACAAATATGAGTTATACAATAATGGTGGACATGTTTTGTTGTTGGTATACAAATAATGATCTATATGTTGGTTGAGCATATATATCATTAATTGTTTGCATCTGTACTTGTTACAAATCACTTGTCTGATTTGGTATACATAACTGACTTATTGCATCTGTGGTTGTTATAATTGACTTGTCTGAATCATTTTGGTGGCTACAACAAAACATATTGGTGGACATGTTTTGTTGTTGGTATATGTTACTTGAGAAATTAACTGACACTAGCAATCATTTTGGTGGCTACAACAAAAAATATTGGTGGACATGTTTTGTTGTTGGTATATGTTACTTGAGAAATTAACTGACACTAGCAATCATTTTGGTGGCTACAATCATTTTTAAGTGTGGTATATATTGTTTGAGCAATCAAGTGAAACTAGCAATCATTTTTGTATAAGTGGTTCATGCTCATGCCCAATTAATTATACCACACTGATTGTTCAATTACATAATGTTTATTTACATCCACATATGTGCAGGTGCAATAGTATCCAACTACAACATTATTTGTTGTTTGAGTCAGAAACTTGATTATAATTATATATGTTGTATACATCTGTGTCTGAGGTTGTTATATAGTATACTATCAGTTGTTCAATTTTAAACAATACATACTTAGTTAAACAATCATGGTGGAAGCTTGCATATGTTTCCCGTGATAATAAACAATAATGGTGGATGCTTGCATATGTTTTTATATATGGCATATGTTATTATATATGTTGTTTACATCTGTGGTAGTTATATAGTTTACTATCACTTGTATACTTTTATAAAATACTTACTTAGTTAAACAATAATGGTGGATGCTTGAATATGTTCCAAGTGAAACTTGATTCCATATGTTGGTTGAGCAATCATTGTTGTATATATGGTAAATGCCAATCAACTTATACAACAATGATTGTTTAATTACATCGGCGTGCTGGGTTATTAATTAGTATATACAACCGTGAGTGTATATTTACTTCCGCATGCTAGGTTGTTAAATAGTATATATCACACGTTGCTGCTTGAGTTAGGGATGTTTAAGGCCAAATGTTTGACATTTTGGAGATATGAGAAATGTGTGTACAACCCCAACAACATGGTAGTTGGGGTTGTCTTCAACAACCAACAACCATGTTTAACTTTATGAGTTTGGAGATATGAGTCACCTGAGTGTTGCAAATTAATTCATGTGTATTTAATATATTGGGAACAACCAATATCAATGTTGGACTGTTCAATGTTGGTCACCTGAGTGTTGCAAATTCATTCATGTGTATTTAATATATTGGGAACAACCAATATCAATGTTGGACTGTTCAATGTTGCACTGTTGCAAAGTGATTGATAATCTTCCGGAACAACCATGAACCTTGTTGGCATGGATAGGGACCTCACTCCGCAATGCTTATTTCTGACTTTTTTCTACATGCCCTAGGCCAATTTATAATGGCCCTTACTTAATGTTAACATGCGCCTATAATCTGTTAGTTGTACTATGTAATGCCATTGCTTTTTCTTCTGAATCACAACAGAGACTAATTTAATTGCACTGTGTCATGTGAAAATAATGGTGTGGCACAGAAACTCATACAAATAACCAATGTACCAAGGTCAGGGATGATCTAGCATTGTGCATAATGCTACATCATCTGATTGGTGGGACAGGTCTATTAACTAATATACAATTAATGCTCATTCATTTGTTCTGTGACACATAACCTCAGACATAATATATACATTGCTTGACCTTTTGTTCTGTGACACAAGTTCAAATATGGCTTGTTCATTTGTTATGTGACACATAACCTCACACATAATATATACATTGCTTGTTCATTTGTTCTGTGACATATAACCTCAGACATAATATATACATTGCTTGAACTTTTGTTCTGTGACACGTAAACTCAGACATAATATATACATTGCTTGGATCTGTGGCGCATAAAGTTATCCAATTATACAATGTACAAAGTGTTGGTCTATTAGGTACTTTGTTCTGTGGCACATCAACTCATACAATCCATTAGTTAATAGATATATTCCGTGATCATTTGTTCAGTGGCACATAAACTCATGGTATTAGACAATGTACAAAGGTGTGGATCAATCAATCAATATATATTTATATTGATTGATCCTTTGTTATGTGTAACAACCACTCATGCAAATAAATGACCCTACAAAGGTGTGGGGTCTTTGGTTAATATATATTTTGATGGTCCATTTGATGTGTGTCACAGAGTCACAGACACCTGGTCAATTTAATATTTGCTATGTTGACAAAGTACAATCCCCAATCCCAATACAAAATGCTTTGGTCAAATATATTGTTGGTCCTTTACTTTCGAATGTCATATAAGTTACATTTAACCTTTAGTTTCATCCTTTTATAAAGTACAATTAACATCTCAGTGATCAAGGTACATATAAAGTATATGTACCTTGACCAATTTCACCGCCATAACATCCTCACTCTCACGCTTATAACCATTGCAATTCTATGTCCAACAGTGTCAAACACATTCATTCGAACCAAACTCATCTAGAATATTCTACTTATTCATTCAATTTGCGGTAAAAATCATCAAAAACAAAGGCAGACAACATCAAAACACATAGTTCATCTATTTTGCAGTAAAAATCATTCAAAAGCAAGGCATACAACGCCGAAACACATAGTTGAACTCCATCATGACCAGTAATCATTTCTTCCATCTTCTATCTGGTAGTTCCAAAAGATCATCCACATCCCTAACCTTACGTTCACACTTTGATGTATGATTGTACTGTTCATTCGTCCCAATCTTCACACTGGCACGCGCAATCTTGTAAGTAATTTGGGAAGAACACCCCAGACGCGTGTAATGCACCTTCTCACCATGTTTATTGAACTGAATCGATTCTTTGGAAGGAATAGTATGATGAAATGTTGACTTGCCGTTCCATGAAATCTGAACAGCAGACTTCCCACCAAAGTTGATAGCAACTCTATATTTGGGGAATATAAACCACCCGCCTTCAAGCTTGAAACCTTCGTTTTGCGTAACAATCTGACCACTAATACTATCAATCGGATACCATAGACAATAGACCTTGCCTTTGTCATTATCAGTATGAGGTTTGTTATAAAAGTTACCCAACGTGAAAGCGAAATTTGCCCCAAAGTCGTGGGGTCCGTTTGGTTGATACTTGGAGGTTGAGGCCATTGCAGGGGCATTGAGTTGGTTTAGTTGCCGGCGAGCAACAAGGAAGCCTTCATCACAAAAGCTCTTGAATCTGCCGCCTACTTGCGCACCAAAATCAGGGAGCCTGTCCAGAAATTCCTTGTACAATGATTCTGACAACCCTTTCGTTGGAGCGTAAGGCGATATAAGGATGTCACGGGAATATCCTACTGTTTGACCAAAACAGTGCATTCTCCCATGAATCAGAGTGCCATTAGTTGTGACCGAACGTTTGTGTTTCTTTGAAGTCAAACTAGGAGTCGCATTCGATTGATTGTTGGTTAGAGCGCCATTAGTTGTGACCGAACGTTTGCGTTTCTTTGAAGTCAAACTAGGAGTCGCATTCGATTGATTGTTGGTTGTTACCATTGGAATGTGCTGAATTGAAAAAATACGATTATTGCAATTCAATCATTAGTATCTCCATTTATCACTATAATTGGGAAGGAAATGACTAACGCCTTTGGGAAAGTTCAGGACCTTACGCTGATTCAATCCTGATTTGGACATAACTTCCTCATCCAAAGGAGGAAGCGAGGATAATGGCGAGGATGACCGATCGTGATGTAAGGAACTAGGACCCGTAACAACAATTGGACTCGTAGATATATGATCCACTTCATCATCGCTTTCCGCATCCGAAGGTGGAAGGGAAGTAAGCGGAGAAGAAGGCGGAGTCAAGTCAGGGCATTTCGTTTTGGACAATTGCTGAGGTTGCGAATCTGATACCAACCAGTTATTTAGCACTCGTTTTATTAATGGTATCAGTGTAATAATGAAGATACGCACTATGAGAAATCGAGATGTAAGTGGGAGGTACTAAACGTTTGGGAGTCGGCAACCTCTTAAAGAGCTTGGTGGACATTAAGATTGTGTCCACATCGTTTTGATGCTCCTCCAGCTCTTCTGGTGTCAAAGATTCCAAATCTTCAAAAGAGTACGTAAAAATTAGTTCATTTGTATCGCGATCAACGAATTGACCTTTGCCATGGGTTATAATCTTATAGGTATTGAAGATTATCTCCATTGTGCGGTCATAATCCTCATACGGAAGTACTGGTTCATTAAGCCTGTATCGCTGGCCATCATACGTTTTGTTGGTGCGGTTGGCTGAATGAGGCGACTGGTCAGTAGCTTTAGAATCCAAGTTCTTCCTAGCCCTCTTCGCATGTCGTCTATAATTTTTGGAGCAATACTCTTAGACTCCATAGTTCATGCAGTCCATAAAATGATGAAGAAGTCATTTACTCACGTGCCTGGTTTTCGCCTGGTTTTCACAAGGTGAAGAGGAGGGTTAGAAGGGACACCCTCCAATTTTTGTTCACGATACCAGTCAAGTGCTCTGCGCCTACCAAGAAACATACAAGAAGTATTAGTACAGACAGTAGCAGTGATAATGTTCATTATCACGTACACTACTGCTCCTTTACCTTCATTTGAATTATCCTTGCTGAGTACAGCAAATTTGCATGCAGAGGCAAGCCAGCAGTCAGATTTTGGGAACCCATCGGCCGCAATGTACTCTTGTGGTACATGTGCGTAGGATTTCGGCATTGCGAAGGGCTTTGGAAGCTAAATATTGTAGAAAGTCATAAGTGTGGTGGTTAAATACGTTTTGGAGATGTAAAGAAGTATTTTAAGAAAAGTACATATCACTTACATCGGCATCAGTATATCCAGTCTGTCGCTTACTATCTATAACTTTTAAGAGGTCCGATAGGAATGTAACACCAGGTAAGACTGGTTCATCACCATCCCTTTGGACAAGACAGTAGAGTTTAACATCCACTGTATAGTAAGTAACCCGAAGATGCTGCTTGCAAACCCATAAGGAAGAAGCCATTAGTACCAACCCTTTGTCAGTATCAAATTTGGCCCTCTTATGCGTAGTCCATCCCGGTTCAATGTCAGTCATTATAATTAGCCAAATGTAATCTGTAGTGGACAAATGAATAATGAGAAACAGGTTAGTATTTTGTCAAATCGCATGTAGGGAATCAGGAAAACATGAGGAAGAATGACTATTGCAGCGAAGAGGCGGTAAGTGGGTTGCAGGTTGTATTTCAAGTTATGCAGAGGCTATCTATGCCAACCTGCTCAAACCGCCTCCATCGCTTATAGGTCTCTGATTCCGAAGGATGAGATCGAATAACAATAATCAAAACAGGTATAGAAACACTTTACTATTGATTAGATGGTCGCCGAAGCAGTGTTCAATATCGATCGAAGGGCCAGAAGTTAAGAAGAGATACAGTATCTGTTGCGAAAGTTCACAGTATGATTAGGAAGATGGAAGACGATGTGTAATACATCGGTAAATATGGGGACTTGAGAACTTTGGCCTTACTTACTATGAAACCAAAGGACGCCGGGAGGGTATTCTGATTGGAAGTCAATAGTATATGAAAGCTATGCAACTTCCCTGAAGCTGATTAATGAGAAACAAGTTAGTCTTTTGTTAAATCACATGTATGAAATAAGAAGATAATGAGGAAGGATAACCCTTGCGGCGAAGAGGCGGTAAGTGGGTTGCAGGTCGTATTTCAAGTTATGCAGAGGCTATCTATGCCAACCTGCTCAAACCGCCTCCATCGCTCATAGGTATCTGATTCCTAAGGATGAGATGGAGGAACAATGAAAACAAGTATAGAAAGACCTTACTACTGATTAGAAGGTCTCCGATTCAGTCTTGATCCAGGGTCAGATCGCTTGGTCGAATTTGTGAAGGTTTGAGATCGAAACAAGAGGTGGATGTGGCAGAAGCAGGAGTAAGAAGGGAGGTCGGTTCAAGAATTTAGTCTTCGGGTGGGTGTCGTCGTGGAATTAGTAGGACTTTTGGTAAATTCAATTATAAACCAAATAAAACTTTCAAAAAAAATTGTCAATGTGTACTTACTCATAAATACATATTGACATATGTGTATTTATGAGTTAAGCGCTCACCTAGCCCTAACCCACTGGCTGTATGTAGTGTTGGATATTTCGAACATCAGGTGCAGTGAGTTGCTAACATGTCAATCTCGATTGAACATGTCAATCGAGATCAACATGTAATTGTTGTTTACACTAAGAGGTACGCAGGTACTCACTTACTGGTGTGCTTAATTATTAAAGGGGTGACGTTAAAAACAGGGGCAATACCCTGAATTTAACGTAACCCCTACCCCTCACCTTCATATTTCACTTTTGGGACTTCACCCCCAGTTACCACCTCAAAGATTGCATCAAACATTAATACTATATTTTATCAAACATGTAGCGGAAAAAAAGATTGAAATTAAGAAAGTTTTCGAGAGTGCCCAGCGTGATTTTATATGATAAGGCTTTACATTCATAAGAGATTCAAAATCAAATATAATCAAAATCTTGCATAAATTTGGCTTTGATGTGAAAAGTTGAAAGTGATGTGCCAAGGACGTAGTTCTTAACGGTGGTTCTAAACGGTGGGTTTGAAACATGGTAATAACATGAGATAGGTCAGGCTGAGACTTCATTCTTTCACCTCAATACTGAGTCCGAGCAATCTATAAGTGGCCTACCTGGAAAGTCTATAATCATCCAAAATTGATACAATCTACGCCATCTACGACGCCTGATGGGGTCCGGTTAGTTCTGCCAAGATTTGAGCATTTACGGAATCCAAACTTGAGTCGCACTTTGAGGAGTTTGAATTGCATTCCTCCTCAGCAATATTTTCATGTTTCTTGGTCTTCTTCACGCGGACGATAGTGTAATTCTTGGAATTAATATCTTCAATCCAGGCGTCCACTTCATCGTTTGTGAGACAGCTGGGGCCCTTCGAAATCATCATGTCTGTTACCTGGCTGTCTGGGGTCCGATGGAAAGTAAGAGCCACGTCGCCTCGAAAGGTCTTCTTTGCAAATGCTTCGGTCAACTCTGGGCACTTGGGATGGGCATCACCTTTGCCCTGATATCCGCCGCGAAGATAGGGAACTACACGTCCAAGGATAAACAGTCAGTATGAGTAAACAGCAATATCAAAAAATCAACTCATCTAACCTATTAAGTCATTGAGGTTTCGCGCTAGTTCTGAGCGTTTTTCCGCTTGTCGTGCAGCCGATGCGGATTGAGGCTTGGGTTCGTGAGTTTTCCGAAGATGGTGTGGGGCCTTTGTGGATTCGAAGGTGAAACGTTCCAGAAGATGGTTTTTTTTCTGTAGCCTAGCCCATCGATCACATGAGGTATGTTCATCCTGGAACAGTGCTTGGGCGGTAGTGGTAGCCGGATTCCAGCTGGCTACCATAAGGTGAAATTGTAAGTCAAAATGGTTTGTCAATAGACAAAGCTGCATGATTCAAGTTTGGTCAGTATGTGAACATTGGTGTTAATATATTGGTAATAAATCAATTGATGTGAGACTTGCCTGACGGGAAACTTTACCGATTTCTTGCTTCATGAGTTGCTCGGATGTGCGGTTGCTGGATTTCCCGCTGTGTCTCCAAAGCCGGCCCAAGTGGAGGTCCTGTGAGACTTTCTTTAAGTTCACCAATCGCTCAAAAACCGGTACATATTTTGCAAGTTCGTCCTGGGTGAGTGGCTCAAGGCCAGATTTTGTTGAGGTACCAATAGATGTATCTTGAACAGCGGTTGAGGTCGAGATTCCTAGTGGTGTTTGAGTAAGTGCATATGCCTCATGTGTGGCCACACAGAGACGCTCAAAGAGTCGAGGCGTAAAGACTTCTTGTTCTTCATCGATGTACGTGGACCATGTTGAACCTACGATGCGGTTGCGCTCAGGAAAACCCTGGGAAACACCCTTGGATGGCACTAGGTTGCCAAGTGGAAGTTTGATTAATACATAAGTTTCATACCTTCATTATATTATGTATATTGGTGACTGTCTGGTAACAGAATCTTAACGTACTGGGAGTCGACGTCGCCACATTACTGTAAGTTTGATAGTTAGTATACATATTGGGTTCTCGTGCAAGCGGCCCTTCTAACCTGGTCAGGTGTAAAAAGAGGTGTCAGGGTCTGTCTTGGAAGCGTTGAAGGAAGGGTAATGATGAGATACAATACTGTACTCACAGAGCTTCGTCGAGGACTCTGCGGCTCACTTTCAAGACAATGCAGAGCATTGTCTTGTCCAACTCGTAGATCGATTGAAGGGATTGCGCCTCGTATAGGCCTGTCCCGGATGGTCGGTTATTTTTGGGAAGTTTGAGAGAAGCAAGGTATTGCTCTGCTCGTGCAAGTCCCCACTCCATGCCAATGGCACGATAGTTGTTGATGTTTGGGATGGCGTCAGATGCGGTATCGGTGTTCTCGTGTTCGTTACCAGAACCAGATGTTTCATGATCATCCTCGTCCTCCTCAGTGTCTTCAACGTATTCATCGTCTATCCTGGCTCGCTTCCTACTGGTTTTGTTGTTGGCTGCGTGAGTTTTACTTTCAGCTAGTCGGCGTTGGCGTACGGTGGTGATGGGAGTAGGCAACCTGGGGTTGTCTTCAGAAGTTTTTGAAGGCGACACGGAGGGTTTTCGGGTTGTGCGGAGGCCGGATCGCGCTGGCATTTCTGGGTAGTATCAATTTGCAAAGTACTTTGGTTAGATGTGTATTTCGGATGAGTATGTGGGAGAAATTGAGGGATTTGTTGCTTACTGGCTGTTGTGGATGGGTTGGTGGATGGTGGAGAGTGTGAAACGAGGTTTGATAAGATCGGCAGGAATTACGAGTTGGAGATGCTGAAGATACGTAGTGTAGTTGAAGGAAGATATACATTATATACATTATATGTGTAATTTGTTAAGTGTCTGGGAGGTTAATGGTGGAATACTGTAGTAGTGAGAAATGTACTTGTGCTAGTGAGATAGTGAGGAGTGATCTACATACTGGTAGTGAGGTTTTGGAAGTGGGATAGTAAGAGGCTGTTCCGAGTAGCAAGATGGGTAGTTGTGTAGTAAGATCTGGTGGATTGGTAGTAAGATTGTGACCAGTGTAGTAAGATCTGGTGATTTGGTAGTAAGATTTTTACACGTGTAGTAAGATCTGGTGGATTGGTAGTAAGATTTTTACACGTGTAGTAACATCTGGTGGTTGGGTAGTAACATTATTGCTTGTGTAGTAGGATCTGATGGTGTGGTAGTAACATTATTACATGAGTAGTAAGTTTATTACTCGTGTAGTAAGATGTGGTGGTTTGGTAGTGAGATTATTACTTGTGTAGTAAGATCTTGTGCTTATGTAGTGAGATTTGTACTTGGTGCGTGTGGGGGGCCAAGGCCCCCCCCTTATGGAAGTGTGACTTAGTGATCTTTCTAGGTCACCATAGGACCAGCTATCTTCCTAGGAAATTCTAAAGGGAGAGATTCCAAGTACATAGGATGATAGCTACATGTGTATCATCCAATACACTTGGTGCTTTTCAGTATACACAGGTGGAAAACTTCGCAACTTCCCCAAGGTCAATGCGAGAAGAGTTCTCGAAGTGAAGGTGGTCGTCAACGTCATTATTAGTTCCAATCAATTTGCAAGTCATTGAGTAGACGCAATTGGGTTTAACAGCGTCAGTAGTCGTGCCATAGGAAGTTAAATGAATAGGATTGGCGAATGGTGACCCTCCGTTCATGCCGGAGGTCGCAATTGATGCGTGAGAAGAGACGAAGCCCTTAGAATTAATCAAAAGAGATGCAGCCTGGAAAATTGAGATGAGTAAAATTGGATAAGCAACAGCACGTGTACCCAGCATAGCGGAAACGACAGTACCTCGACACCGGCTTGGCCAAAGAAGTTTACTCGAACAGGGTGTGAAGTAGAGTTAGCGCTTGCATTTGCATTGGCAACCATGTTGCTAGGATTCGGTATTGAAGTAATGGCCGGATAAGTGGAACGGAATGAAAGGTCTACGGATTGGATTGAGCGACAGATAATAAGGTGCAGTGAGAATGATAGTGGGGTATGAGTTGCAGTGTTGGTATAATAGATAGTAATGTAGAGAGTGAGGAGAGGATTGAACATGTTTGCCATTGGAATTCGGAGTCTTATATAGACAGGGTTCGTGACACCATGTTCCGTAGATTGAGATGCAAATTACACGCATGAGAAACGCAGAGCAATGGGCTGGCTGACGAAGAAATGGCGTTGGTCCTGGTCACAACTATGAAATCGCAACGCCGGCGTATTGGAACGTCTGGACCTGCCTACACCGTGCACTACCAAATTGCGTTTGACCGAATAGGTTTTTGACTGCGCATGACGGCAGCATGCGTATCTCGCCCTCACAATGATTGGGCAGGCAATGAGAAGAGGAGCAGCAGCGGGCGTGGACGAATTGAGGAAGTGTCGAGTCCGGTGGAAGCGCAGCAGTAACTCAGTAAGCATCGCGTCGCAGCGACATATAATTGCAGACAACAACAACGGAAGAACGGCCGGGCCTAGACCAGCCAGAAGCGTCGTCCCTCGTTTCAACGGGTCTAATCAGTTCGTAAACTCAGTCGGTAGAGACACCAGCGGCATTGACTTTTTTTCGTATCCAACACCATCTCCTCTTTATGTATGATGCAGTGTATAATCTATTATTTTATGAAGCCAATTTTCAGATCTGAAATTCAATTTTCAAAGCAAAAAACAATTGATGGCGTTCGGTCTTTTTGGTATTTCACCAAACAAGACCACATATCAATCAAAATATATCATTATCTTGATTCTTGCTCGGTCAATTCAATTTTGGACATTTAGGAGATCAACTGAACTTGGCTATTGATTCATTGATGACTCGATAGAATCATCACATCGACGGTTCAATGGAGTTGATCAATAGTGAAATCACTTGGTCCAAGTCTGGACCCCTTGGTCTATATGTTCACCAAGAAACATGTGATGTTGTTTCTATTATCACCAGTAATTGATTGAAAGACAAAAGGCAAATTGATGATTATGAAGATCAAAAATGAAAGTTGAACTTGAAAGGATCACAGTTGTTAGCAAAGATCAAAGTAAAGTTACAACAATTGAAGTACAAATCAGAGTAGAGTTGATAGTCTGAACGTTTGAAGTCGCTTGTGTGATAGAAAGGATCATTTGTAGTCGACGAGATTTTGATCCGAAGTGGTCTTGAATCTTGATGTGATGTGTAGAGCCCCGAGTTTTGAGGCTTCCTCCAGGTAATAAT